CCGTAAGAATTGACCAATCACTTTGAGTATCGTCGAACTGTAACGTCGCCATTTTTGTGAATACTCGATTGTAATTGGTCCATTTTTACGGTACGTCTTACATTACTGTTATGTCAATTCGTGTGCGGCGTCTCTTTGCACGTAGAAAAATTTTAACCGTAAGATCGTAAGAAAACTGATCAATCATATTATTCGATTATTCCTCGATATTAATCGATTATTCCTCGAGCGCAAGGAGAATGATTGGTCTGTTTTCTTACGACCTTACAATTACGGTTAAAATTGTTCTACGTGCAAGAGCCTTAAATGAGTTAAATGAAAAAGTAATAACGAGAATGATAGATGTCGACTCGGCACGACAAACACCGGTAATTTGTACTGTGAAGTGCGAAGACTATTTGCTACTCACGTACTCACGATACGCCCCGACGATCGCACATCGCTGTTTCGCCACTTCCAACACATACGCGCGAAATTTACCTTTGACGGACACAAGCGCGTAAAACGCGCGGAACGATGTCGATCGATGTGTTCGTGGCGGTTGCTCGATGCAAAAGGTAGATGGCCGCGCGATTCATGATACGCACGAAACATGAGGTTTGTTTATGTGCGTTGCTTACACTTTTGCACTTAATGCCCGTACACACCAGATGCAATGAACGAAATCCAATGAGAGCTCTTCTTTTTGAAGAGAAGCTATGCAACGGTCGTTAGCCCGAGAGGGCGTTAGGTATAAAAATATCAAAAATATAAGCTACGCGAACAGATTTATAAACGCTGTTGTGGTACGATAAAAACGCACTTTTGTGATACAGCCCTTTCTCTCTTACTGACAGACCGTCCGAGTTTGTCGCCGCGTATATCTCTGACGTCATTTGATCTTCCTTTTTCTTCGTGATTATGACCGAATTTCCAATTTCCGACTAATAAATCCGATAACTGTCTGATTCTATCACTATGTGGGTGCGCCAGTGGTACAAGTGTAACCGATGTTACGACAAACACCGATATTTGGACACGAGGAGATTATTCGCTAATAATGCACTCATAATATATCCCGACGATCACACTTCGCTATTTCGACACTCCCGATATTTATGCGCGAGACTCACTTTTGACGGACAAGATAGGTAAAATCTAAAGTGACGTCGATCGATGTGTTTACGGCGATTGCTCGATGCAAGAGAATGGCAGATGGCGTAACGTCAGTCATAGATCTATGTACTGTAGGCCTGATTGTGCCAACCTCTTAGTAAGCTACCTAAGTTAAATTATGTGTCTGTCTCTGTCCAATTTAAAAGGAAAATGAAGACATATATGATTTAACTATCAGATAGCTTGAAAGGAGGTTGGAACAATCGGCTCTCAGGCGTCTCATGAGCGGAAATTTTCAGTGGAACGGAACGCGTAGGCCAATCACAGCTATTCTATTTTCGCGAAATTGCTGTGATTGGAAATGATTGGTTCACACGTTCCGTTCATGAAACGCCAATCTCACATTGTATCCGATATTCAATAGTAGAATTTCTTTGTTAAAGTTTCTATTTGGCGACATTTTTATCTTCAGAAAACTAATTTTCTTATGAGTTATTAGACATCGGATGTCGGACGCGATGTAGATCCTCTATGAGATATGATGTAAACTAGGTGCTGTAAGCATTGACTAATCATAGTCGATTATTTTTGTAATAATCGATTCTGATTGGGCAATTCTTACGGCTTGCAACACTGATTACAGACTATGCCTAATGTATGCAGGACAAAACGTACAGAGCGCGTCCGAACTGTGTTCGCGCTTTGGCGCGCATTTACATCATCAATTGAACGGCTATTTCCAACCTTTTTATATCAAGTAACCACCATGAACACATCAATCGACATCGCTCCGCGCGTTTTACGTGTCTTATGTCTATCAGAAGCGAGTCTCGCGTATAAATATACGTTGGGAGTGTCGTGCGATCGTCAGGGCGTATCGTGATTACGTGAGTAGCAAATAATCTTCGCATTTCTCTCAGTGCATGCCACCGGTGCTTGATGCATGTGTCGTGTCAAGTCGGCGTCTATCACTCTCATTATTACCTTCGGCTCATTCAAGCAATAATCGGGTCGCCGTCGAATTTACTGATTGGAAATTAGAAGCACGGTAATAATCAGAAGGAAAGAGGCAGATAAATATGGATATAGTATAATAAATATACAGTATAATAAATATATATATGTGCAACACCGAATCTGGAGCGTTGATCCACTAGCAAAAGAGAGAAGTGTATAGAGCGCGTAGTTTTCAACGTCGCTACAATAGAAGCGGGAATTATCGGTGTACTCAATCGCGGCCATTTCGAATTTCGATCTCTTTGCATCGAGCAGCCGCCATGAACACATCGATCGACATCGCTCCGCGCGTTTTACGCGTCTTGTGTCCGTCAGAAGTGAGTCTCGCGCGTAAATATGTGTCGGGAATGTGCCGAAATAGCGATGTGCGATCGTGGAGGCATATCGTGACTACCTTATTAGGGAGGATTCCTCGTGCCTGGGTACATGCTGCCGGTGCCTGTCGCGATGTGTCGAGCCAGCATTGGTAATATTCGTGAGTACCATAGACTCACGTAGTAATAGAATCGGACGATCGTTGGATTTAATAGTCGGAAATTAGAAATTCGGTTATAATTAAGAAAGAAGAGAAAGATAAAATGATGTCGGTATAGCGTCGGTTTGTCAGCAAGAGAGGAAGGGATAAAAAGGAAAGAGAGAAGAGAGAAAGGGATATACCACAAAATACTATGTCGGTATATCTGATATTTTAGAAAATAATTTATATTAACAGGTAGCGCCGATATATTAGCAAGGAATATACACTCAGTTCTCTCTCTACGCAATGTCTTATTATCTAATAGATTGATGGTTGTATAAATTCGAGACCAGACGGATTTAGCTAGCATACATTTCTTATGTCCATCGATTAATCCAAAAAGCGAGAACGTATTTTCTGCATTTATTAACGAGAATCACGTAGCTAAAAACGAACGTGGCAGGTCGAAAGTTCGTAGGAGTTATCGGCTCATCGAATGGTAAAGCGTCGCGCGAAACTGAGTGTACTCAATTTTGAATAACTTCGTAATTAGAGCCGCACTTCAGTTTCTGCTAATAACGAGCAACAATTTACTCCTGCGTTCTTAAAATACGATCCTGTTTCGTTATCGATGAAATTAGTCGCGACAATGCAGCGTTTAATTAATCGACAATGAACCGAGTGGTTTTCAAGTCGCGCTTGGATTCGGCTTCTCCACTTCAGAAAGCAATTTATCGTATTTGTGCTTATCGGTTTTTATATTTACCGAAGGCAGAGCCGAGCAACGCGTTGGTACATCAATGCATCGGATATATCATCGGATATATTATCGCGAACGGTATATGGACGCGGTTGAGACCCCTTTTTCCCTTTCGCACGGCCCAGAAACATGAACACTCGTCATGACCCGCCATGACCCGCTTTTTTCGCCCTTTCGTCTCGCTCTTTCAACGAATTCATCATGAATTTCATTCGCAATGCTGCAGCCCTTTCGTTCCGCGCTGCAGTGCCGCGCGTCCATGCATTTGCACGAGCAAACGACGGCGATAAGAATTCACCCTGCTAACGGGAACGCACTTAAGAAGCGCTCTCGCGTAATTTCGTATTCTTGCTTCCGCGTTTGTTGATGAAAGCCCTACTATACAGTCGTGACTGCGTTTCCACGTCGTCGTGCTGCGCGAAACTGGCTTTTGCTTTTTCTCTAATCGTGTTACGGTATAATTTCAGCAGATGCTATTTACGTCACTATCGCTAGTTAAATGTTTCGACGCTGCTACGTCTTATCATTTAATCACGAAAACAAGCTATTTACAGCACCTCGATTTTACAGTTCCTCGATATACAAGAAGATACGTTATTAAGTAAAGTAGAGGGCAATCAGGAACGAAGGAACTTAATTAAATTATAATTTATTTCGTTGAAACATACACTGCAGAGGAATATGTTTTTCTTATCAATATTTATTCAATCTTTCATTTCGATCTTTCATTTCGAGATTACTAGTAATATTTGTACTGGAGTTAAATGCATTTGCGCGCTTGTAATACACACGCAGGTGTGCGTGCGAGAACGGGTTTAATTTAACAGATTGCAATCATACGAGTAATAAAATTCTATAATAAAAACAATTCTCTTCCTAAAAACATTATACATATAATATTTTAAAAACTTAATAAATTGAAATCGCACAGACATACAGGTCTACGACATGATCGCATGCAAATATCAATATCCAAATATGGTTAAGCATCTGTCAAGTGTCGCCATCAAGAAACTGGTTAGGATATCGAAAAGCGACGATCACGTGATCAAAAATACTCGCTTGGTTGATTCGTGACAAAAGAAATATAGCGTCTCTCGATTCACAAAAAATCACGGATCGGAATAAATAGCCTAACAAGTAGTGTCTACGACTTTCAGCTCTACGTACATTGGTTTATAAGGTTGAAAATCGCAGGAACTCCGATGAGGTTGTTAGACCGAGCTGCCTACGTTCCTCCGATTTACAGTGCGAATGCAATCGAGCTTGTCAAAAAATGACACCGGTTTCAGTGCAATGCGATTAGCGATAGATCTACCTTGTTTGAAAAATACCCAAGTACAGCGTTGTCCCGGTCGTTGTTCCAATCGTTGACCCGACCGTCGTCCGGGTCGTAGCTCCAGACGTTGTCCGTATCGTTGCTCTCTGTCCGACGACACTCCGCTCGTAGGCACATTCGAATCGACGACACGCTCAGCGTATCACTAGCAAAACGCGCTACCGGCGGACTATCGCGGGCGAAACGTTGCGAGCACTGCTTTAAAGCTATCGCAACAGATATCGCCATTTTCCGGGCGCATCACTGTACCGAAATGACCATCGTGCTGCCATCTTACAGCGAGCGGTCGAAGCGCGCGACTCAGCGGCCGGCTGACATTCGCCGTGAAGCAAGCTGACTGATGACGTACTGACGACTCTGCGATGCTCGTTTAAATTCCGCGCATCCTTCGGTACCAACAAACGCAAACAAGTGTCCGCCGGGTAATCCGCGTCGTGCCGTGCTCCTGTGCGTGTTAGATCAAATTTGAGCGATGGGAGTCACCGTGTAAGTAATTCTTATGCTCCTAATAAGTTTATGAAGCTTCCCGTCGCGCGACCGACGTATCGCGAATGTTCGGCTCGCCGTACTGTACGCGTTCTCGTGCTCTTTGTCGCGCGCGTGCAGAAAGTTAGGTTATGTCGTGCGGTCGGCTGTTTGTCCGCGGACTTCGTTGTTAATAAGCTCGAGTTTTCGCGTATCGCAACGCGAAAATATCTGTCTGTTCGGAAAAGATATGCGAATTGCTCGTGATTGGCAGGTTGCAGCAGTACCCGATGATCGAGAACCGCACCGGGCCGCAGACGATCGAGTTTCTTACGAAGAGAATCGTCGCCCTCGGAGCTGTGCAGTCGGGACAATTCCTGGTGGATTGCGAAACGTACATGTCGGTGCCGCATCTTGGTATGTCGGTTTTTTTCCCGCGAACTCGCGTCTGCGTTTGCACTGCGGACTTTTGTATTATGCGGCTGTGGTGAGAGTAGATGGTGCACGGCCGTCAACACAGATGGCTGTTGCTTGCTGTTTAACGTTACAACATCGTCGGCAGCTGTCAAAGCGACGTTTGTTGAAAATTTTGCAAACTAAACACAAAAATCTCAGAGTCTTTCTTATTTCAATATAACTTTGGAACATGCAATTCATATTTCTAATATGAAAAATCTTGAGATTGCAAATATAAAATATAAGTAGAGAACATAAACATTTTAATATTCTTGTTGTAATGTAATAGAGATATAAAATAGAGGACATCAATACTTTAAAGCTATAATTGAAAGTGTGACAAGAAAATGATAGATAACAAAATGATGAATTGATGTAACGCAATTGAACGGTTTAATGTTATAAGGGTACAACTCTAAAAATCTGCAATTTTGTTTACTTAAGAAATTAAAAATTCAATCTTTAAAGATAATTTAGTTTTCAAAATAAAATCCAATAAAATTCTACAAATATATTCAGAAATTTATTAAAAAGATCATGTCTTGACTTTTACAGGAAGAACTTCTCATTTATCTAGAAGTTACGCAGAGTCATAAAAAGAGATATTCTTCTTTAGCATGTTAATCTTCAAACAAGATTATATAGTGTTAAATAAATTATATAGTGTTAAGTTACTTGCAAGAATGAATTTTATACAATTCATCAAAGAAAAAACTTATATTCTTATTATTCAAAAATAACTGCCTTTAATGGGAAGTAAAATATTGAATTGAGAATGATATTTTTAAATGTTGAAAGAAAATATGAATGTCATCAAAATAATCGTATCTCTTATAGAACTATTGTAATATTTAAATAAAATTATTTAAATTCAGGACTTAAAAATTTTTCCAATAAAATTATATATCGTTACTTGTATATAAAACACGTTGTTTTATATGTGAAACAATGATTGTTAATTTGAATATATTAGTTTTAAGTAAATAGGGAGAAACTTTGGATATAACACATACATTTAAAAATAGCCTTTTTTCAGTATTTTGTACAATTAATGAAAATTATTTTTGAATACCAAGAATACAGTTTTTTCTTCATTGAATCATACGAAATATATTCTTGCAAGTAACTTACCTTCCTTTAATTCTATATAATTTTATTCGAAGATCAACATGCAAGAACTGAAAATATTTTTTAAACAAGAATGTTTTTTCATACTGTGTAGTGTTACTGAATTTTCTAAGAATTTGTCTTTCCAAGAATTTACCCTTTTAACATTTTTTCAAAGGATTTTCATGGAGTTGAAGTATATAGATTAATCAGGTACACACGTTATTCTCTCATCATGTCTCTTCTTTTGGTATTTATATATATATATATATATGTATATATATATATGTGTATATATATAGGCCTCTATACAAACACGCAACTGTTGGTTCCGCCGGAAGTCGTTAGCGATCGTATATTCAGTATTATTCGTTATTTCTAGAGAGGTGTAAACGCAGACGCTAACAAAGTTCGCTTAAGTACATACTTATACATAACGTAAATACATATTGCACCGATAGAAAGTGCATGTTTTCCCTTCTAAAGCGAGCCCGCTGAATCGGCGGGAGTGTTTGTGCTACTCGCGTTATTTTAATTAACGAATAACGACCGACCCACTAAAAATGAAGTCGGCCAACGAAATCGGTGCCTCGCACGGTGTTCTCTGAATATCGCGAAAGGAAGGTTACAAGCGTTCTATTGAAATTCTCTATTCGATGATAGAATCGAGTTCGTATTCTCGAGAGAAACTGACGTGCAGTCTTATCGCTTCGTCTGAAACAATCCTCGTATGTTCGCTGTTTTAATCT